AGTAGCCTGCAGTGCTGCATTTAACCACTGCACCACCTTGGCTCTTATGACCCAACTTGGGAACATCAGTGGTAGAAGGGGTGTGTGTGGAATGCAGGAGGAGGACTAAGATGACGAGGAGGGCGAGGAGGGTGAGGAGGACAAGGACGAGGATGAGGAGGATGAGGAAGACTGTGAGATCCTTGGTGCTCTCTGACCTGGGTTGTTTCCTTTAAGACATTTCATATCCAACTAGGGAACCTCAGTGGTAGAAGGGGTGTGTGTGGAATGCAGGAGGAGGAATGAATGAATGAATGAATGAATGAATGAATGAATGAATGAATGAATGAATTCTGGTGGTCCTTGATGCTCTCTGAACTTGGCTGTTTCCTTTCAGACATGTCATGACCCAACTTGGGAACATCAGTGGTAGAAGGGGTGTCTGTGGAATGCAGGAGGAGGAGGAGGAGGAGGAGGAGGAGGAGGAAGGAGGAAGGAAGGAAGGAAGGAAGGAAGGAAGGAAGGAAGGAAGGAATTCTGGTGGTCCTTGGTGCTCTCTGAACTTGGTTGTTTCCTTTCAGACATTTGATGACCCAACTTGGGAACCTCAGGGGTAGAAGGGGTGTGTGTGGAATGCAGGAAGAGGAGGAGGAGGAAGAGGAGGAGGAGGAGAAAGGAAGGAAGAAAGGAATTCTGGTGGTCCTTGGTGCTCTCTGAACTTGTTTGTTTCCTTTCAGACATTTGATGACCCAACTTGGGAACATCAGTGGTAGAAGGGGGTGTGTGGAATGCAGGAAGAGGAGGAGGAGGAGGGGGGGGGAGGAGGAAATGCTGGTGGTCCTTGGTGGTCTCTGAACTTGGTTGTTCTTTCACACATTTAATTACCAAACTAGGTAACATCATCAGTGCTAGTGATGCTGATGATGGTAATGAAATGTCTGCAAGAAAACAATAAAGCTCATGACCCAAGGAGGGAACATCAGTGGTATAGAAAGAAGGGGTATTTGTGGAGTGGAAGAGAATGGGGGGAGGAGAAGGAGGAGGACNGATGGAGGGCTGAGTCAACCTTGAGCCTGGTGAGATTCGGTCTGCCAAACTGCTGGCAGCTGATGATCAGCAGAAGTATGGTTATGGTTATGGTTTATTAAACTTGTATGCCGCCCTATTCCCAGAAGGGACTCAGGGCGGCTAACAAACTCATAGGGAAGGGGGGTAACACAACGAAAGCAAAACAAGACAAACAATTATTGTAGCCTGCAATACTGCACTCTAACCACTGCTCCACCGCGCCGGAATGGGGATAGAATTGGAAAGATCCAGTTTCAGGCTGGAAGGTCAGGCTGACCTTGCCAATCTCCCTGGGTGACTTGATTATCACGTTCATTGTGGGGAGATGTGGAAATAGAAAGGAGCCACTTGGGTTCTTGAAGGACATAAATCTAACACCTAAATAAATAACTAGGAAGCTGTAAAAAAGGTGTGCTCTGAACGTGAATGCCTTTCAGAAGTTCTACTCTAGCTCATGACATTCTCCCATGTGACAGCTCTACTTGAGGATCTACTCTGGTTAAGGTTCCCTTCCAGGTAATAGTTGCTGGCTGTTACCTGTAGAACATTTCCCTTCCAGACAGTTTAGGCCTAGGTATCATTGAGACATATCCCCATATCAGTGGTGGGTTCCGGATCCACCATTTACTGCCCCAACGCTCTGAAACAACTCCACAACGTTCCAGCTGCTCGGCGGAGCATTGCACAGGTGCTGTATGCTCTGTGCATGTATACGGAAGCCCTGAAAATTTCAAATACTGGTAAGGAGCATGGGCAGGCGGGTGGCCCTCCAGAGCACCGTACCGGAATGGTACCTGGTGCTACCGGCAGGCACCGGTACTCTCGTACCAGGGCGTACCAGTCGTAACCCACCACTGCCCCATACACTGAGATCTGCTGAGTTGGCTTAAAATTCAAAGATGCCTCGAAGGAGGGTCTTTTGTGAAGATGGGCAAGGATGGACAAGCCTTGCCCTGGATGCAGAACATAGCCCCAAAAGACCACTCCTCATATTCTGCAATGTGCATCTCTTGGTTAGCTTTCGATTAGAAGAATGTTAGAATGGAGAATAATAAGCTTCTGGAACCCCGTTTAATCATTCTAACTATTCCCCATCACTCTGTCCTTTTACAGGTTTTGATTACCTTGTACTGGCTGGGCAGGAAAGCAGCCCGCAGCCCTTCTTATCATGGACCCCACCTGGATTTGAAAGCTTTTGAGAAATTGCTTGGACAAGCTTTGACCAAGGTAAGGCCTCGGTGGAAGGATCGTTTTAGAAATGACAAACGTCGCAGGTGCCTCTGTCTCTCTGGTAGTACCTTGTTCAGCATCTACCTTGATCGACAACCCTTTTTCAAGGCACTTGAGGGTCAAACTGACAATTCAAATGGATTCTCGGTGAGAATAGAGTAGAATAGAATCAGAATGGAATGGAGAGGGGAGGGGAGGGGAAAAGAATAGAATAGAATAGAATAGAATAGAGAATGTAGAGGAGAGGACAAGACAAGACAAGACAAG